TGAAAAGCAAGGGTCCAAAGAAGATATTTTAGTAGAAATGTGAACAAAACATTCCTCCCCCACATTAACTTTTGTCATACAGCAGCAGCAAAACCTTAACAGATTCACTCACTTGTATTTAATATCAAAGACATGTCTACCTTTTTCACCACCTCCTCTTCCTCTTGCTTCTTCTCGTAGTGGGAAAAGTCATCGAAGATGGAGGTGGTGTGTTTGTACTGGGCAATAATCTTGAGCACCTGCTTTGCTTTTTCCAGAGGAACCTCTTGAGTGTCACGTGAGTTGGTGACCGGCTTGTTGTCGTTGTTTTCCAGGCGGATGTGGCGCAGCTGGCTATTGGGCACGTCCTTAACAAACAACCAGTTCACATCAAACTTGCCCTTCCACTTGTCCTGCGCCCACACACCTGCGCTGGTGCCGTAGTCCACCGGCGAGCGCATCTCCGCCACGCCGCAGAAATGCCCGCTGCCATTGACGCTGAACAGCAAGTAGACGGGCCCTTTAGAGTTCATGGCTCTGTAGGCTGAGTCTAGGCGCTTGTTACCGTGCTCCGTGCTGCACCAGATGGAGTACTTGATGGAGCGGTGGATGTCGTCCTCGGAGTAGCTTTTAATGATAAACACGCGGCCGTTTTTCAGGTTCCAGTCAAACTCCTTGGGGTTGTAGCTATGGGCCGCTCTCAGTTTCTCCAGCACAGGGTGGGACTCTGATCCCAGGTCTGGAGGCCCCACCCCACCCCCTCCATTACCAACACCACCGCCGTTGGAGGAGCCGCTGCTGTCCAAGCTTCCGCCACCGTAGCACAAGTTGCGGTTGCGTGGGGCTACCCAGCGGGTCTGAGGTGTGGGAGCAGAGTTGTGGTTCTGGTAAGAATGAGGAGGAGGCGGAGGAGGGCCCTGCAGGGTCATCTGCTGCACCAGGGACTGGGCAGAATGCAGGGATTGCTGAAGGGGAGGCAAGAGACTGGGAGCATGGGAGTGAAGCTGGGGCTGGTGCTGGTGCTGTTGGTGGTGGTGGGGTAAAGGAGGGGCCATCTTGGTCGCAGTCCCTTTATTGTCCCAAGTATCAATGTCCATGCTGTGTTTGATGGGAGGTGGAGGCAGAGGTCCTCCGACTATAGGAGGCTTGTTCTTGGTCTTTTGTTGCTGCAGCTTGGCAGGTTTACTAGCGATTGCAGCCCACGATGTCGGCTTCGGAGGGGGCATTCCCATCGGTGTGCCACCGTTGCCTGTGGCAACAGCAGCAGCTACACTGCCGCTGCCACCGATCACGGAGCCTGCACTCTTCACACCTGAGCCACTTCCAGTCACGTCCCCGCCTATTTTGAGGCCCAACATGCCCTGCTCTATGCTGTTCATACCTGGGGCCTTGCTTAGGGTGTCACTATGGAAACCTGTCTGGCCATCAGGGACTAAGGTGCCTCCAAGTGAGCTTGGTGGGTAGCTGTAGCTCCCCCCGTAGGCTGAGCTCTGAGTCTGCTGTCCCTGAGAACCACTGGTGCCCCAGGCAGAGAACGCTGGATTCTCTGGGAAGAAGTTAAACCTGTGAGGGTAGATGCTGCTGCTGAGCCCGCCCGGCTGCCCAAACACCGTGTCGTGCATGAAGTGGTGGTCTCCATTGCTGAGCGGGGCATAGGGTGTCAAGTAGGGAATCGGTGGATCGCCTCCTGTAGACCAAGGAGCCTCACTGAGAGGATAAGGAAATCCAATAGAGGGGGCATAGTAGCTGGACAGGTAAGGGTCTGTCATGGACTGATAACTGTTATTCTGCAAAAAGAAACAGAAAAAGATCCTTTTAACAAAATCAAAGTAAATGTTTTGCTCTTTCACCCTTTTCTCCACACTCCACTGTCCCCTACACCTTACACTCTGTTATACTGAACCGCTTTAATCACCTGATAATTGCCGTGCTGATTCCACTCCATTTAGTACGCCTTTTAGTAAGGTACTTTATTTTGCTTTGTTGAATTTGAGATATTTTACTTTCCTCTTCTCAACTTGACTCACGGATGCAATCGTGACTCATACGTGATAATAGGAAACACCACTTATAAACCCACAGGTCACGCTGTTGAACAAAGCAAACATTATGTCACAAAACAAACCAGCATCCTCCTCTGTCACGCCAACTTTCTGCATGTCCTCCGTCACTACATTGTCTTTCTTTTACTGTCTTCTTCGTCTTTTCCTCCTGCTCCATATTCAGCACCCATCTATCCAGTCTACCCACCATCCCTCTACTGCACATGTCCAAAAACCATCTCAGCTTTGCCTCTATAACTTTGTCTCTGAACCAATCAACCAGAGGTGTCCCTCTATTCAATTCCAATGAAAACCTTACTTAATGACACCACTGAACAGCTTGCTGGGAAGAAAATATGCTAATCAAGGCTAACTGGTGATTTTACCCAGAGACAAAACAATTTATGCCACAAAGTTGGGAAGAGTAATTTCAAATGGTTTTTATTTGAAAGCTGCATTTAAACATTAATGCTAATGAGCTAAACAATCATTGTTTAAAGACAGCAGCCCAAAAAATATATATTAGTGTTGATTGTATAGTCCAAATATTTATGTTTAGGTATGAGAGTCTAAGATCAGACTTTTTGTTCCTTTGGTCGTGCAGTTTCATTTTATTTTATTTATTCTTTAATGATGACATTAAAGAGTTTTATATTTTTTATAATGTTAACAGAAAAACAAGTCACCAGATTTTTTGGTCATACTGCCCACCGCTACACTGATTCAAAGTTATAAGAGGATAAACCTTAAAATCCTAAAATCATTTTATTTTTAAGGTCTCCAAAAAGTTAAAAGAAACAGTGACCCCATCGTTTTCCCTTTCAACAGATCTAACATGCATATGTGCGCACATTTATATTTAACCAATGTGATCATATGTTAATTCTTTTACTTCCTAAAACTCAAAGACTAGTTTGGCTATATTACATTGTTATTATTCAGTGCTTTCCCTCTCATCACTACTTTTGAGCTGCTGTAACAGGTGAATTCCCCCCTGTGGGATTCAATAAAGTTTTCCTACCTGACTGGACTGGCCGGTAAGATAGGGCTCAAAGTCATTATCATGGACAGCATCCTTCTGATGGAGGGAGCCATTCTGCACCGAAACTGAAAAGGCTGCAATAAATAGAATCAAAGTTGCACATGGGAACTTATACACACACTTTGAGAAAAAAAAAAACAAAGCTAAAAAAACAAACAAACCCATTTTTAATATTATGACACCTCATGATATATTCACATTGCAGTTAATAATGATACAAACTAAACACCAGCATGTATTCACTCTAAATGTACAAATAGGTTTCCAAAAGATGTGCACTTTGTGCTACACAGCTGTAGACAAATGAGAGGAGGTCAACGTGAATGATGAGTACTGAGAATTAAAATTGATTTTTCTGTCTTCCTGATTGATAAATATAGCATTTAGGAGCTGACCTTTTGAAAAATGTGAGGTACCTTAATTTTAAAAGATTTTTGCAGTGGTTATCACTATTACAAACCGCTACAGAAACATGTTCCATATTAGGTGGTGATGCACTCAGTAATAAGCCTGCCAGGCCAGTTTGTCCCCCTCTAGATACAGAAAACATCTAGAGATCCATCATCTCTTACCTTTGCTTGCATCTTGTCCTTTCGATGTCTTATCAGTCGTTTTGGGAGGATGAAAAAAAAAGAGAGAGAGAGAGCTTGTGTGGGTCACGACTGGAAAATTCAGAGCATTAAGACATCAACCTAGCCTCACACTGAGATGTATTCAGACATTTCCTCCGAAAAACCTCACTGACAGATAAAAAGCATCAGCGCTCGGCGGTGTGGTATGTTAGGGCCACTCTGATACCCACTGGGAGCTGTGGTCCAGGCCTTGGTTTGTTACCAGCAGTGAGTAGTTTTCCAGCTATCCTTAGCTTGCAGCGGGGGCATCGTCTCCAGAGAGGGGTGCACACCATGCTCATCTCTCCTTCCTGCAGAAATATAAACCCGAAGCTGAAGGTATCCCCTTCGTTGCTGCTTACCTGAGGGTCAATGCTAGCGGCAGACATCATTCATTCACCAGGTGCTGTGTTAGACTGGAGCTCCGATGAGACGTGCCGTGTGTAAGCTGCACACTCCGCGCTGTGGAGAGGCTATTAGCCGGAGAAGCTGGCGGCTTGCTCTGCGTTACTTTGCTGCTAACAGTTAAACAGAGTTAGCAGCAGCTTTTAGCCGGTGTCTCTACTCAACCCGGACTGTTTGCTCCTCGTAGCCCTGCTGGCACTCCGCGCTGCCCTGTCCACATTAATCCAGCGGGGCTCCGATCCGCTCCGACCCCCCTCTCTGCTAAATTAAAACCCGACCAGCCTCGGTGGCCCTGCTTCACTTGCCCCAAACGGCAGCTTCATCCGGGGTCTGCGGGGCGGAAATGACGCCGCTAATGTGAAAAACGCGTCCAAGGCTACCTAGCAGCAGAAGTAGCAGAGCGAGCTCATGTCATTAATTTCATTTTTTTTAATTGAAAATAAATTAATTGATTAAAACATTTCTTAAAGGTATGGATTCTAATTCTAATTACGGCTTTTTAAGAAAACCTTTTTTCTAGGAATGGAATTTTTTTTTCCTGCCACCGATTTTTTTTTAAACTTACTAATCATAGGTCAAAAATCAAGTTAATTTAAATTAAAAAAAATTCTCAGAAGTTATTTGGATTTTTCTCATTAGTTTTTAGTTAAGTCGAACCATTTGAGATAATACTATGGAATCCTGACATATGCATGACAAAAAATGTTTCTATAGGTCCATAAATACATAAATAAATCAGTATATCTTATCTTTAAACACAACATATATCAAAATAACCTAAATAAGTGGAACAGTGTAAACTGTAGCTCAATAAAATACAATCCAGTATGACAAAAGAAATCTCTTAAGGGGAAAAAATATTTGAAAGCTAACAACAAATAAATAAATAAAAAATCAACTGAAAATGGTCCAAGAACACTATACTTTAACACTATGTTTAATAATAATAATTTCCAAAATATGGGATGAATAATCAAATTACAGTCACTTACATTCATAATGCTTTTTTGTGCAGTATATGGTACAAAATCATCTAAAGTAAATGACAACATTGCTATATTACTTTATTTTTTACTCTTTCTTTTATTACTGTTTGGTAGTTTGGTGATAAATGAAACATATTTTATAAGTTCACATAATTAATTTTAAATGCAGCTAGCATTTAAAGCTGTCAGTGTAACAAGTACAACATTTTTTTTTTATATCTAAACTGTACACGAGACAAAATTGCACACAAAGAAATGTAATCTTAAGTAATGTACAGTACTTGAGTAAATGTACTTACATTTCACTAATGGAGGTAAAACTGTATATGAATGAATAAACATTAGATGAACATTAGCAGTAATCCAGTATAAGGCAAATTGTGGACACAGTTTATTCCACTGACTGAAAACACACATTATACACATTGGGGTCCTCCCTTCTTCTAATTGAAATTACACATAATAATAATTTGTACATTTTATGAAACATCAGAAAGAACACCAGCTGCATATGTACAAATTTAGAACCACAGTATTCTGTCAGACAGCCGAACCTACAAACAGTCTTTCACATACATGCCGAGAGGTAGCGTTACTACGGGATAAAACTAGAAAATATCAACATGCAATAGACCGGAGACTCCTCTTTTGAATCAGGCCACAGTGTGAGAAACGTACACAGTGAGATTTGGCATCTCTGTGTGAGTGTTATTGACCATGCCAGAGATGATGCACTATCAGACTCTGCAGAGTTGTTTGATCTTCTTCTTAGTTCCTTCTCAGCTTTTCACTTTCTTTATTTATAATCTAAAAAACAAAAAACATAGAAAATGCATTGTGCAGCAGAGGATGGGCCTAGCTTAGCTTACATGAGTGCAAACAAATGTGGACTACTTACCAATGGATTGTAAAACTAGAAAAGCAACTTAGAGGGTTTGGATGGATGGTGAAACTCACCAATGAAGTTGACTAAAATAAACATAAAACAAAATGAATGAAAGGCGTGCATAAACATGCCGTTTCTTTGTAATGGATTGTTATCCAATAAATTAGATAATGTAAGAAAATGAGATTGTATTTGACACTGATCAGGAGGACACTTACAGCTGTCATCCTCTTCTGAAAATGTGCTGGCCACATAGCAGGCGTAAACAAATCCCGGGAGCTGTAGGATTATCACAGAAGCATAAGAAAAAAACAGCATATTTTAAAATCTTCTGTCTTTTAATATTAATGCAAAACACAAAGCAGACAGTAGACTTTGCTGACAGCGAAAGATTTTATGCCTTAGTGGGAAAAAAAACATGTAAATAATAACTTACCTCTTAATTCCAGTTAGCTATCTTATTTGCATTCCTACTCAGAGAAACTATCTGTCTGTAGATGTTCTCTTAAAGTATTACACAAGAAATTGTTTTAGATATTAATGGTTTAAAATCTCTGCACACCTGAATGAACAACAGGTGCGTAGGAGGAATGAATTTGTATTGAAAAGATTCATTGTAACCTCTGCACTACGTCTTGCTTGCCATGACTTTATTAAATCAAAACCTTTTTCTCCAATTGACCTTCATCAGCTAGAAGAAATGTTCACATAAGGACTCAAACACAGTTTAACATACGTGTTTACCAGCATACACCTTAAGGCGATTTATACTGTACGGTAAGGACCCCACAATAATACAGAGAAAATATCAACTAATCAGATGACATCATGTGACCAAGTCTTCAGTTTAATAGTGATTGGGTCTTCAATATGTGGAGTACAATCAAAAAGTTGCCATTGAGCTGCCAGAAATTTGGCTATTCTTAACTTTCTACCTTTATGTTCTATTAGGACCACTTGCTCGTGCATTTTAATGATTTTTAGCATGCACCTCAAAATAGCATCCACCTTTTGCATCAACTTTTATGTTTATCACTGCTAATACTCCTGATACTCAGAGAGGAAAGAGCAGCATTCAGAGGAACAGTTATGTTTCAAAGTGTGAAGGAAGCACAGACATGACTATACTGGTCATTTTCATGATATTCATAAAGGTTTTGACCCATGAATGCACCCTGCAGGTTCAGACTGTTATGTAGATTTATGCTTTAGTCCCCTGAGGTGTTTGAGGCTTTCACGCCTGCTTACAGGACACTGAAGACTTAATCTTTGTCCATCTGCTCTACTTGCAAGTATGGCTTCTTGCAATTCTACAGTATCTCCTTCATCAACATGAAATTTAAGATGAGCACAGAAGGAAAATGCACAAGTGCAAGTGGCCAAAATAGGAATGTGTGAGGACACTACTAGAAGTGAAGATCTGCCAAAATCAAATCAGACCTATATTTTTTTTTTATCAATGAAAATTGAGGCACTTGTAATAGAGTCCAGAAGACCACAACCAACCACTGGTATTTCAAAAACACAACCTTTCCTAATCATAAGCAAACCTGAAAAACATGTTTTATAAAAGCAGAATTTATGGCAGAGCTGCTGTGTTGAGTGTATTTAGCATATGCAATACTTTGTGTAAGGAAGTAGGCCTTCATCAGGGTCCCCTAATGAAGGCCACAAGCCAAAACACGTTGGTCACTTAATAAAGTTTTCTATTACTTTAAGTGTCGCTGGAGTCTCCACGACATCTGATATCAAACAGACTCAACCGTCAATTTTTTTATATTCTGTTTGAAGTGAATAATTAAAACTATTTTTAGTCACGTAAATTAACCCAGTGTTCAAACGAAGTGCTGTATAAAAAAGACATAAATATAGTTTCATTAATTGAACAAAATTGAAATAAATCACACCCAGAAGATTGAACTGGCTTCAAAATATTTTCAAAAACAGGACCTAATATCGCAGTAATTCACTTTTGTAGATAATACACAAACTGAAAGTATGTACCAGCTCTCTCTAGTGTGATAATATGATGTTATTCTTAAATATCAGCTCTGTTACTAATCTACAGATTGTGTTGCTAAGCAACAGTAAGTTCCCAGGTGTACTGATGCATGCTTATTAAAATTAAAATTACATTAAATAATATATAAATACAGTTATGTCCATAAGTTTTGGGGTAATGACACATGTTTTTTTTTATTTTTGCCATACTATTTTATTATTTGGTTTTGTTGTCATGGGGTGACATATGCTGATCTTATTTTTATGGATTTCTGGACCAGTGTAGCTCTAATGACATGAAAAAACAGCTTTTCCACTTGTGAAGGCGACATCTGGCAATGGTGCCATTTCAAAGTCTTGTTAAATGAAGTGTTGAACAAAACTAAAGACTCACTGATACGAGGAGCTGGATGATGCAGTGCAGGATTTCTATGTACTGGTATTCCAGCCAGCAGCTCAGCACTGTGGTAAGCTCTGGATTTTGCTGGTTCTTCCATCCAGCAGAGGGAAGTCTCTCGCTTTCACATCCCGGCCCATTCTCCTTCCACCAGGAATGATGTGAAGATACACCGAGGGACAGAATATCATCATCCTTAAGGGAGCAAACAGACAGGTAGTAGTTCATTTTGTTAATATTATTAACCTCTTAAGCCCCAAGCCTAACTTATCTCCTGCCTTTTGCCCCCGTATCAGGGGGCGTTGCGGCTTAAGAGGTTAAGCCTGAAAAGCAGCACGATATCCACAAAATTCTGAAAACATAAAAAACTCAATGCAGTACAAATTTAATTCTGACTTTAGTGAAAATGAATCCATGCACTAAGAACCAAGTCTTATTTCACCTAATTTGACTTTTTGTCCTTTTTCTTTATGCACCAGTCACGTAAGAGTGTTGCTACAAGCATATACTTACCAGAAATGTTATTAGGTACACCTTGCCAGTACTAGGTTGACCTTTGCCTTCAGCCCAGCTTTAATTCTTCATGGCATAGCTTTAACAAGTTACTGGAAACATTCCTCAGAGATTTTAGCCCATTTTAACACGATACCATTACACAGTTGCTGCTTTCATTCCACCACATCCCAAAGGTGCTCTTTTTGTGATCTGTTCACTGTTCAAGTACAGCAAAATAAATCTGAGTTTTGTGATATGGTGCGTTATCCTGCTGGAGGCAACCATCAGAAGATGTTTACACTGTGGTCATAAAGGGATGGACATGGTCAACACTAATACAGAACTGGTAGCCTGTTATTTATTTATTTAATCAATGGTAAATTGGCAATAAGGGGTCAACGTGTGCCAAAACAAATATCACCCATAACACTACACCATCAGCAACCTGAACCGCTAATACAAGGCAGGATGGCTTTATGCCTTCATGTTGTTTAACCTAAATTCTGACCCTATTCTGAATGTTTTGGCACAAATAGAGACGGGCAACATTCTTCTAATCTCCTGTTGTCTGGTTTTGGTAAGCCTGTGTCAATTTTAGCCACATTTTCTAGTTCTTAGCTGACAAGAAAGACACCCGGTGTGGTCTTCTGCTTCAAGGTTTGACATGCTGTTCATTCAGAGATGCTCTTCTGCATACGTTGGTTGTAACAAGTGGTTATTGAAGTATCCGTTGCCCTTCTACCAGCTCAAAGCAGTCTGCTTATTCTCCTCTGACCATATTGTCTTGAACATGTCTACATGTGTACATACATTGAGTTGCTGTGATGTAACTAGCTGATGAGACTTGCATTGCTACATCTTCAAATTGATATAACAGACTAACACTAACAAATATTGCATAACTGTAGTGATCCAGTTATAACAACACTACACAGGGATGATTTGCAGGAGAAATGCCTAAGAAATGTTTTACTCGACCAAATGTTACATTTTAAATCAGTGAACAGAATCCAACCATCATTAAAATTAAAATACAGCATTGTTTGTATTCGGGGAGCTAAGACAAGACTGAATGACTGACTTGAAAATTATTCTGAACAGTTTTATTTTTAACATTTGTCATCATTTCCCTAAATTATAATTAGGGTTTGGTCTTCCCGAGTGCAGACAGTGTACATAAACAACTTAATGAGACTTGTTTGCGGCTGAGGATAGGCACATTGCTGTAAGGTGTCTGTCACTCTGAGTCTGTAATTGGAGGCAGATCTTGAAAGGAGTGACATGGACAGAGCTGAACATTGTATTTAGGAGCTCTTGGTCCCTAATTACCTGACAGGTACGTGACCATTAAAGTTACCTTTGAAAGCCCTCCCAAATCCAGGTAGAGACAGCTCACAAAGACATTCCAGCCAACCCACAACAACGTCCACAGCAGGTACTGAGAAAACAGAAGCACAGAATTACACTGGGAATGACAGCATGGACTGAGGTTGAGGTTGGCTGGGCTGAGATGTAGTGAAATATATATAATATATATATATCACTATATAATAAAAAGTATATTTTTTTCCTGTTAAATACAGTAAAGTTATACTGCCAGGACATATTCAGAATAATCCAGATCATCCCAGCTCACTGCTGCTTGGTGTTATTATACTACTCAGCTTTCTTACAAACTTAACATGAGATGGTTTTGGTCACAAACACCATACCATACACTACCAGCACAGTTAATGCTGCATAGCACAGGGAGCTGCTTTTTTCCACCGACTACATGATATTTTGTGGGGTTTTTTTTTTTAATGCGTTTCAACATGTTTTTTAATGTCTTACCCTTTTTTTGTCATACATTAGATGGAAAACAAAGGCTGAAACCCTCTGTCTGTGCACAAAATACTGATCATTTTAGTGCTTAGCTTGGTACAATGACATGAAAATGGGAGAAAATAGCCTAGACGGCACTTTAAACTGCACTAAACAAACTGCATCTCGTTTTTGTAATTCTCGCACAAAGGAAGTGTAAAAGCCATTTTTAGTGGTTTATTCTAGTATGTTGTTTTCTAGTAGGACTCGTTTTGGTTATTGGCTGTGACTGTGTATAAAAAATGAGTATAGCTACAGTTACATTACTCATTTGTTTCTGGACTGCATCTTGAAGCATCTGGCTGCTGTTATATTGATTTTCAGAGCTAGAATTAACCATATTTTAACGAGAAGAGCAAAGTCATCAGCAAGATAACCATTAAATATCACTGTTTATCATAAACACACACACACACACA